GTTCAGATGGAATCTCGTTAAGCTGACGTCGCCATCCTACAAACTGCACACGTTGAGCCTTGTTGAGAGGACATGGTGTTGCCCAAGGGGCAAAGACTTTCTTGGTATACGTGTCCAATTGGTGATTCCCTTTCACACCAGACAGAATGACAGAGGGCAAGATTGTTGCATATTTCTGCGGCTACTTTTCAATCAGCCCGGCACATCTGGATTTACGACCTGGCGCAGAAGGATCTTGATCAACTCGGAATGAGCCTTTGCATTTATCAACTAAAGTGTATGGTCTCAGGCGGTTTGTGTATGGATCTAGAGATATGCAGGATATTACGGATATTATTCTGAAAGGCTTTTGTGCATCCTGACCAGTTTCTTCTGTTCACCGGAGAATCATGTATTTGGGCCAAGACCTTCCTCCAGCCAGCATGACATTCCGCCAAGTTGTCCCATTTTGAGAGCCTCAAGTCGAGGCTTTCCTGCATGGTCTTCTTTCAGGGAAAGACCTCAAGGCAGGTTGCGATCGACCTCTTCTTGGATGGACAGCTCTGCCAAACTAGAAGCTCCTTAGGCCAATCAATCATCATGTATCAGATGCCCAACTATTGTACATTTCCTCTGGCTCACATTCATTTGGAACGACGTGTGTGTTTAGCACCTTGAGTACACCTGGGTAAAGGGTTTTGTCTTTTGCTTTCCACTCCAAATCATCTACAGTAAAAGGCAGGACCACATTGCTGCATGCTCAAACGGTGAGATGATGTCAAGTTTGTTTGCCAAGGAATTTTCGGAGTGCGACCTGCACATGGTCCCACATTTTGCCGGGTTCACCCCCTGTCCTCTCTTGCGAAAGGTAGACATTGTCTTTGATCTGGTCTCTGTGGATGTGGTCTCCAGCCAGGTGGATTCGAAGGTGTCCGAGGCACGGGCAGCCTGGCGTCCTTTGATGTCGCCGGAGCTTCCATGCCCACATCGCTCGGCCAGGCAAAATGCTGGCCCGTGCGAATCGATCTGACTGCAGCGTGGAGTCTCGGAGGAGTCGGATTCTGGGAGTCGATCTGACTGCAACCTCCTGTGTCGATGCAAAGAAGCGTTTATGGTTTTTTGGCCGCGAAATTCTTGGCATGACTTGACATGCCTTGAGATGCTCGCCCACCAGATGACCTGAACATGGTTACCCTTGTAGTCATGTGTGCTTGAGTTCTCAAACATATACAGGTTGGTCAACAAGAGAGTCAAAGCACTGGTTGGAGGTAGACGTCCGTGGGTGGATGACTGAGAAAATGTCAGGTGCCCACCACCCGCGCAGGGCTTCACTGGCCCTCGGCTGCAGCCTTGAGGGGAGCGCTGAAAAGAACATGAGTGCAGAATTCATGTTCTTTTTCTTAGAAAGATACAATGATGATGACATCATGGGGCAAATGGCCCATTTGGCTCATTTTTTTCGGCATCCTCACGCTGCTGGGTGGCGACGGGCGCCACAGGCCTGCCCGACGGAGGATCGCCTTCCCAAGCCGGGCACAAGTGTCCGGCAGCCCGGGGCCAATAGTAGCGTCCTTGCTCCTAGTAGCGATGCCAGGAGCCCCTAGTAGCTTCTTGTTCCTAGAAGTACGGCAGGTTCCCTTGACTTTCTTTCTCCGATGGCCTTTTAACAGGTGACCGCCCGGCCCTAGAACCCCATGGTCTCATGCTTCTATGATCGTTTCAGCCCAAATGGCAAGCACTGCAGGTGGCTAAAACTCCTGCAGGTCGTTTTGCAACGTCGATCCCTCACCATCCGCCTGTGAGCACCGCCCAGGTGGTCGTGCTTGGCGACCGCGGCCTTGAGAGCTCAGCAGGTGGTCTTCACCATCCGAAATCACTTGAAGTTATGGATTGGCCCGTGGTTTGGGAAAGCAGCAGCGGTGTCAATTCTACAAGTTTTTGCATGACAGGATGAGCTCGCTCTTAGGTTGGAGGCCATTGCTATTAGGTTGGAGGCCATCGCTCTCAGGTTGGAGGCCACGGCTATTAGGTTCCGATCCTAGTTGTGTTGGGGGACTTGTTCGGTGTGCACGATGTGACCTCGCTGTGCGGAGGTGCTTCTCACTTCGTCTACCGCTTTGCGGAGGAGCGGCCCTGGACAGCCTTCCAGAAGCCACTGTGGAGTAGCGTCTTGGAGGCGCGGTAACGAATGTCCAAGGGGCCCTGGCTGTGACAGAAGCAGAGGCACACATGTGAGAGTTGACCCTGAATGCAAAGCAGAATGAACTCTTAAACCCAACTGAACCTGTCGCTCAAACCAACTCAAACCTCCACGCTGAGAACTACCAACCTCGCAAACAGTACTTTTGACCGTTTCACGGTCCTCATACGATTGGACCAGGCCCAGCCGCGGCTCCACCGCTTCGTGCGGATTTTCATGCGCGTCTCCTTTCGCTTTGCGAGTGGCCCTCTGGAGGCCGAGGGGGAAGGGATTCCGGAGAGGACGGAGAAGCGGAGAATGGAAGACTGAAGACTCCGACTGCCGTGAAACATGGTGAAACGACACTATCGCGGCTTTTTGCCCACGATGTGGCCTTTGCGAGTATTTGGGCCATCTCTCAAGCGTCTGCCTTCCAAAGATCAACTTTTCCGTCCTGGCTTTGTGTCACCGACCTTGGAACGCTGCGATTTGCTGCGTTTTGGGCTCGAAAGACCCCACAGTGGGCGGTGAGGCGGCCTGGAATCTCAGCTCTCTTGGTCTTGCTTGTTGCAGCAAGGGTTTCTGCTCCAAATCCGTTCGCAAAATAGCATCCAGTCCAGATATCTGCGACAGGCCCCAGTGAATATAGCATTTGACTCGATTCTCAGTTTTGGTCGCCCAGTGGGTTTGTTCGAGCGGCCCTTCTTCATTTCACCTTGACCCACGCGGGGTGCGTTTCTTTGGACCATTGAGGTCTTCCGGACCTCGCAGAACCAATGCGACCGTGGAAGAGACGGCCGCAATGCCTGGCATGTGTGGCTGTGCCTCATCGGCAGAGACTGCATGCTCCCATATGCTCCCGTCACGTTTTTGCAGGCCTTCAGGTCTTTAGTAATTGCTTCGAGCTTCTTGGAGATTGGCTCCGGCGACAAAGTCGCACTGTCCCAGTTGGGTTCTATATCTGGCCCAGGTGGAGGGCGGGGGGTCTGGAGGGTTCGGGAAAAGGTTCCACCATCCAGACTTGGCGGGTCTGAGGTCCTTTGTGCCTTGGCGGCCAATGCCTGGTGCTTCTTACACCACATGCTAGGACCAGGCCGCAAATCGTGTCAAATCCAAGCCCAGTCAGTGAATTCCTCGATGAATTGAACCGCACATGGGATCTTCGCTCACCCGACTCGCAGGACCCGAATCAGATCGAGGTGAAGCCGTCCAGGAGTGGAAGCGGGTGTGAAGGTTCTGACTGGTCTTCGAAGCTTCTGACCGTAGGCAAAAGATTGATGGCCCCCAAAAAGCTGCGAGTCCCTTTGCGTTGAGCCAGTCTTTGGTGGCAAAAAATCAACCATGTCACAACGATCTCGGTTTCCACCTGTGCACTTTTGTGCGGAAAGCAGTTGGGTCCGCAAGATGTGCTACTGTAGGCGCGCCGTGCGCTGCTGGCAAGCCTAGTGGCTGGCTTTCCAGCCCCAGCGGCGCGGAAGCTCAACTTGGTCACACTTGGGGAAAGGTTTTGTCCTGCTAGATTTTAGATTCATCGGTGTATCCAATGGTTGTGGAACTATTGTCACCTTAATCATTCTACCATCATTGCTTTTTGCCCGTTGAGATGTTATTATGCCATCCTCAGTTGAGGTTTCGGTGCCTTTGGTGGTTTCCCTGTCCATCTCATCGTTTCCTTCAATGCAAGCTGCACTGCCACTGATCATGTCGAATCTGCCCTTGGCTCATCCAAGTTGCATCCATTGCTTGCTCCGTTGCTTGCTGGCTGGCTGGCTTGCTGTCTTGCCACCTTCCTACCCTCCTACCTTGCTTGCATGCCTAGTCAGATCATGGACGCAGCGCATATTCCTTCATGGAGGTGACTTGTGATAACATACAGTACACATATACTATTACTATAGTAGCTTTCTTTTGAGAGATTGCCTTGTCAAACGAGAGAGCTATGAGTCATGAGAGGTGTAAGGCGGATTCTACTTTTTGTGCAAGTTCAATTACGGGAGCCTCTTGAGGAGATGGATTTTGGAACACAAGTTGTGATTCTATAGCCGGTTGTGTAACACCGTGTAACAACAGCTTTGCATTGAACTGCAAAGACCATTTCATTTGCTCAATGAACTGCTGTGGAGACTTCTTAAGGGGAACTTTGTTGGCTTGACACTGGCTGAGAATAGTATTTCCTGAAGTGCCTTCTGTCGCTTTGGATTATTCTCACGGGCCACATCAGTCTTTGTTGCGTATGGATATGGCACAGCGAAATTCAGTCTCTTGAACGTGTTTTAGCGTCGCAAAGGTGGCTTTCCGAAATTCCAAGCCGAAGTGCGCACTCCGCTTGTCTGATTTAGGGTTTCAACTTGAGCATCACAAGCAGCATTCAGGAGTTGACTTGAGTTGTTCTACCGTCAAATTCCAGGTGTTTCCAGAGCTAAGTGTATGTTCTTGTTCAGTTTTGTTGGTTTCGACTGGCACGGAAGAATGCGGGGTGTGACATATAGATGGTAGTCAAGAAGATTCACAGTAGGTGCAGCCCCAGAAACACCAGCACAAGCTGGCACAAGCTCTCCAGGGATCCATGTTGACATTTAGAGTCGACTCGGACGACAGAACAACTCTCGGCTGCAGGGCCATAAAGGCTGGAGAGGCAATGCCTGACCTTGATCCTGACTACCCGTACGGGGCTCAGCTTGAAAGATCGACTCGGGGCAGGAGGATTGGATAAGAGAGTGAAAAGCGCTACTAGGTTGGAGGCCATCGCTATTAGGTTGGAGGCCATCGTTATTGGGTTGGAGGCCATCGCTATTAAATAGGTTTTAGCGGCACCTGTGCCCAAGATGAGACGCCGTGACTTGAGGCCTGCACCCTCGGATGACCCATGGATCCGCGGCTTGCAAGCCAAGTGTGGAGCCTAAGGCACCACATTGACATGTGGATGTTTCCTTCTCACAAGAAAGGGTGAGTGCCGACATCAGTGTTTGCTTGGTTGAAGGCGTTCGATAGGTTTTCTAAAGTTTGCTGATCGCAGAAAGGCTTTTTCTTTTTAACACATCCACATCTAGAAACAGTTTTTTTTGATACTTGTTCTGTATACAACCTGCAACTGTTCTTGTAATGTAAAGGCCTCGGAGCCTCTCCTGTCCAAACAGCAGGGACCGATCCGACCCCGAAATGAATTCCCAGAGACCAGTCTCAACGATAGGTGATGTTAGGCCTGACATGGTCTTGTGCGTTTGTGTTCAAGAGGCCTGAGGTCCAGTGGCTGAATAGGAGACTTAGCTAGCCACAAAGCCAAGAACAACTTTTCGCACTTACACAAGTTCTATTCATGGTGAACACGAAAGGTTCATCCGGACTGTGTTGCTGCAGTTGTTCGTTCGAACTCTTTTTTATTGCGGCATTGTGCTTGGGGTGTTTGAACTTTGCACGTTACGGACAGGTCTTGGGAAAGAGAGCCAATTACCAGGACACGGTATTTGGGCACTACAACCAAATATGAAGACACATTCATAGTGGAAGACTAGAATTGTAGCTATTTTCGATGGCCTTTCAATGAATCCATGTTTTTTGGGGTTCGTTTGGGTTGGTGTGCAGGACTGGAAGGCTCTTATTGGAGCATTTCTTGGTAGCCTTGTCCAACCAGTTGACACAGTTTGGCTGATTTAAAGTACTTGGCGAGCTCAAGTACTTCATGTTGTGGTAAATGCCAGGTGATGTTCTTGGCACACCTTGGTTGAAAGGTCTCAATGCTCGTGGTGGCTTCCTTTTTGTACAGCTCATCTCAATCAACAAATCTCTGAATATGGAGTCCCAAGCATCTCTTGAATTTGCACATTGGCCACCTCCTTTGCATGATGTTCAGTGCACACACACACATGCGCATGAGCTGTGTTAGCTTGATCATCAGGGCGATCGAACTCGAGCCAAAGCTACGGGGCAGGGAAGCTGTCCGGAGGTGGCCAAAGTCACGAATCAAGAACCTTGCACCGAAATACTCCGAGACAAGCAACAGCAGATCTCCATGCAGGACCAGATTCTATTTGATGGATGAAATGACGAAGATTCAGTTTGCCTCTTAAAGATAAACGCCGGTGATCCTTGGAAGAAATATTGGAGGCAATTGAAAATGGTTGAGAAAGGCATAGCATAGAAAACATGAGCGTTTGGATAGGTTGCTTTAGACCGGACCAGCTTGTGGTTGCCTCAAAACTTTACACTTGGTATTCAATTTACAGTGTGTTCTGCCAGGTGGAGGCCATCGCTAATAGGTTGGAGGCCCTCGCTATTGGGTTGGAGGCCACCGCCATTAGGTTGGAGGCCAATGCTATTAGGTTGGAGGTAGTAGGTTGGAGGCCATACAGTGTGTTCTGCCAGGTACTCAAGAATTCACCCTTTGTCCACATTTCAAGACCACTTCCATTGCAACCTTCCCGTATTCTGGCAAATTCAATTCCCCTTAGCTGAGGCCTAACCCTTTTGGTGAGAAAAAGGATATGATCCGCTGGAACGAGGACTGGGCCAGCTACGAGGAGTGTGGCTGTTTAGTGCCCTCCAAGCATTTCAAGGAATTTGAGTGTTGGTTCCGCTGATTGAATTGCCAGGAATGGATAGGTTCTGACATACTGTACTTGCTGCATAGACTGAGACCATACAGTCAGTGTATTTTATTAATCTACGTATCTATACTGAAAGCAGACAAAGTATGATGAGCGCCTGCCTTGGGACCTGAATTTAGCTGGGCAAACAACCACATCATGCATGTATATTTATATACACATACATACATGCATCTATTCGTAGAATTGAACGATTCATGCCTTGATGGGACTATGCATGGAGAGTGGTAGGAAAGCTGTTTTCTTCGCAGTGCTCCAGAGAAGCGACCGCCAAGAAAGCCAGTATATAGGGGAGTTCTTTGTTTACCCAGAGCGAACCAGCAGACCACCAAAGTTTTCCTCCAATTGCCAAAGAAGCGGCTTCTGTTCTTCAACTTGTGTTGGCAGAGCCACTCCAGCATTCTACTGCCGTTCCGCTTGTTGATCGAAAACCAAGGCTTCATTCATTTGTTGCAGGATCCTGTGAAATGGGACGTCGTTTCCGCGCAAGACCGCCGGACAGCTGAGAATTTGGGCCCCACTCTTGGATACCCTGTGAGAAGGAACATGTGCATCAAACACGTGTCACAGCTTGGGAAACGACGAAATTCAACGGCAAGCAGATTGATCTGACAGTCTTTTAGTCTTGTGATTTGGTCGACCCTGTAGACTAAGCCAATGACAGTTCTTTTTTGCTGAGCCAGTCAGTTCCAGTCAGTCCATCACCAGTCCTTGAGCCCAGGCAAAGTCTTTATCGACCAGGACGTGTGAGTTGAATGAAGATGCCCTGGCAGGTGATTGCACAAAAAAGATGTTTGCCGACATCCATTTCTTACACTTTCTTCCAGTATCCATTTCTTCTCTACTTCAAGAGGATCATTGCAGCATATCATGATTGTTCAAGAGGCAGCATAGCAGCATATTATGATTCGTAGAACTAGAGGTGTCCATACCACTGTGTGCTTAATCGCCATTCTCTTGATTGCCCTGAAGGACCTCACGAGTGATGCGATGGGATGGCAGTCCTATATCTACACTGCAGCTGAGGCAGCTGTTTTTGGATCTGATTTGCTGCCATATGAGGGATTTGATTCGGGTTTTCTGTCCACGACATCATTTGCACTGGGCTCGGGATTCCTGAAGAGACCTGTCCTATTTGAAGGTGTCCTTACGGGTGTCTCGTCGCGTGCAGGTTGCTGTTGCTATCAAATACATGTCCAAGTCCTCGCACTCTCAGTAGTAAGAAGATATCGTGTAACTAGCACCAGAGGGCGAATGGACATCGCCAATGCTTTCACCGCTTTTTAAGCCATGTGCTTAAAGGATTTTCTGAACCAGGCACTTCTTCCCAACTGGGTTGCCAGGACCGTGACTGGGCCGCCAAGAATCTCAATATCACGCAAACGATTGTCCCTGTCTCAGAAGTTGGGCTTATTGGTCAGAGGGCAGCACGTCAGCTCGGGCTTTAGCAAGACAGGGCATGTGAATGAATGTTTAAGTCACCCCGAGTGACTTGAGCCCCATTAACAAAGTCCATTTGGGACTTTGTGAGGGAACTTCCAGAGGATTGTACACGTGCAGCTTCTAGCTGCATGTGACATGTTGTCATTGCGACGTGTCACCATGCTGCCTGACCTGACTGCATTTTTTTGCGGGCATGAACTGGACAGTTGACCCGTTTCAAAGCTTTTTTCCCTCAAGGATTTTACCATCTCAAGGTTTGGGAGTCGTTGCTTTCACTCCTGGGCATTGGATTCTGTATCCATCGCAGCCCAAAGAGCGAACTAAGAACCATCCAGAACCATCCATAGGTCGGCGCAGGGCTTTCGGACTCCACCGTTTTCCACTTGTGGATAAAGAATAGAGGTGTATATATACGGTGTGTATGGGGTGGTGAGTCTTGAAGGGCACCCACCAACTAAAAATTCAGCTGAGTGGCTTTGAGGAGCTGGACAAACCCTTCCAGGAGCAGCTGAAGCTCATTAGATCGCGCAAATTTGGCGTGGATTGATGGGAGCTTGGTTTAGTCATTGTAGCCACGTAGAACGTGCAGAAACGATCGGAAGAGCAAAGACGTCAAGAACTTGATTGAAGCTGGATATATCATGGAATAATTACCCAGGATTTGTTCCTCCCCCAGCCACGTTGAGTGTGGGAAGGCTAGATCCAAATGCACCAGCAGTAGGGCTTGAATTTGGGATTTGTCCATCACAGCTCGCGTGAAAGATTCTCGTCTGGGCTGGTGTCCATGCTCGGCCTGGGCCTTGAGCCGTAGATAGACTGACGGGTGAACAGGAAGGTGTTGTCGACATGAGGACAAGTGAATAGCACCAGCGTAGGCGACATCAGAACATCCGACTGATCTACTTTTGACATGAACCTGATCACCCCCACCATGCACAAGAGTGCGAAAAAGGAACCTGGCTGGCGGCCTTGGCAAACGGGACGGCTGTCAGGATGCAAACGAATCACTACCCACAAACGCCACAAGCTCTGACCTGCTGTTGTGTGAGCATCAGTAGCATAGATCGAGAAAACTGTTTCAGAGGAACTGGTGTTTGCATGCACCATCTATCCACCTTCGGTGCTACTGCACTCTGCATTACCACCGGTGACCATCGACCGAAGCGGTGGGTTATCAGAGCTCAAGTCTCGGTCTGCGACATCCGTCCTGGTACAGTTGGCCATCGAGCTCTTTGACTTGAAGGATACTCCGGATGGCGATGCAGATGCCCCGAAGTGTGCGGGGATGCCCAAAGTTTCTTCACGAAGCTAGCTGACTGCTCAGGCCTAGCTGCCTCGCAGCTTGCGTTAAGACGGCAGTTGATGAAAGGGCCTGAAAGTTTGGGTTGATGTTAATCCATTACTTGTTGCAACTCTTTTTTCTTGGCAGTTGGAACTTTGAGGAGTTGCTAGGAGTGCAGAAGCAGCCGGATGACACCTGAGGCAGTTGATGCTGTTGCAAGTTCCTTTCTTGGAACCTATTCTGCCTTTGGAGCCCCACAGAAAGGGAAAAAAGATCAAAACGAGCCCCAGGCACCTGTCAAAAGCAGTCTGGCATTGATTCTTCAGATCACAAAAGGGAAGGCCCAACACAAAACTCCTTTGCAAAGCCATATCTTATCGGCTAAGGGGCTTCGCAGATGGTCCAGATTCGTGTGCTAAGGCCATGGGATGCTTAGGAGGAGTGCCGGTTCACCACGGACAGGTGTGGGATTTGGGCCTTTGGGTGATGATGGCAGAGAAATCTTTACATACTTTTACATTGTACATTGTTCCTTGGCTCCCATGGTGCCAGAAACAACTTATAGCACCCAACGAAGAAACAGACTCCACTACCACACACACACACACACTTGCGGACTGTTTGTCGCGCGCCTCGTTAAGAAGTGAGAATGATTGCAAGTAAGCACTGTACATGCAACGTGTCCCGATAACCATAGCTGTACAATGAAGTTGATACGACATGTTTGTGTGAACATGCACACAAGTTCTGGTTCTCAATCACGAATTAGAGCACCTAATCTGGCCCATCGAACAAATCCAGACTGCGTTTCTGTGCCCCCGGTTTCTTAACCTGTCCCTGGTCCAACTGGCGAGTTTCGAAGTCATGTTCTTTCAAGTCTGGAATACTGTAAAAGGATCTACTGCAGCTATGATTGGCATAGGAAGGTGAACATTTGCGGGGTATTTTTGTCCTTCCAATTTCATATATTCTGTAAAGAGAGAGAGAGAGAGCACTTTGGCTTGGTCGGGAAGCCATGGTCTTGCTCTGATACCTCCAACTAAGCTGTGGTGGAACCCAAGATTGACTAAAGACACGGCTCCTGTTGTAGAATATCGAGGAAGCATTTTGCATTTCATCGTGATCGTGTGTTCCAAGAAACGAACGACGTTTCGCAGATTTGTAGCCTGTTGTTTAAGACTATATTATATATATGTCGTGTATGTGGTAACATTTGGACTTCCTCTGACATGAAATCATATTATGCGATACTTCCTCGTCTTGTGGTGAATCCAAATTGGAAGAAAGTTTCCGTAGCGTAACATGTATAGCACGACAAGCTCATACCAGGTTATTCCGTTGTTATGAGAAGGCAATGGCTCGTCCGCAGAAGGCTATTTGAGTATGTGAAAGAGTTTCCATACCTGTCTGGAGACCTTTCACCCCCAGTAAGACGCGTGTTCCGCATTTATGGTTCTTAATTTTTCGCGGGCTTGGGCATAGAAGTCGACTGTTTGCATGTGGTCAATTCTCGTTCCAACTTAAGTTTTGAGGGTAATCTGTCAAATCAACAAGATATTTGTAAACAAGGTGTAAACAGTGCAATTGGTTCTGTGAGTGTGCGAAAGTCGCATCTGCAGCTCCCTGGAGCATAGGAAAGTCTTGTTTACTAATGAATTTGGCTGTTTCGTCTGCTACCGGCTTACCCAAGATTGTCTCAAGATCCTTCTTTGAGGTAGCATCTGAAAGGGTTCGATGGGACTTAACCTTACAAATGCGACGTAGGACAGGATTCCAAAGACGGTGGAGCTTGTAAATTAAATCATTATGGGCAAGACGATGGAGTTGGGCATTAGCTTGACCCTTGAGTATTTCATCCACTATATGCATTACATATTGCCAAATCTGTGTAAATACCGCCCAAAGCTTGCCAAGTGAAGTCATGAGGAATTTGGGACCTTTTGAGGTCGAGCCTCTGGATCATGCATGGTAGCGAGGGGAAAGAGGCTATTTGTTCCATTAGCAGTAGCGTCCTTGATCCTAGTAGCGATGCCATTTGTTCCTAGTAGCTTCTTGCTCCTAGTAGTAAGGCCAGGAGCCCCTAGTAGCCTCCTTGCTCCTAGTAGCGATGCCAGGAGCTCCTAATAGCGTCCTTGCTGACCGTCCAATTGCAGGGATCAGTTGCTGTATGTTGCTGTCGATGGTTGTCACGACATCATCGACATCGACATGCACGAAAGATCCGCTCGATTCTCTCGGCAGATTGTGGACCATGCGATGCCCACCGGTTTCCGCTACAAGTGCCCCGGCGACCCACGTGTTGCTTCGGTCATCGAAAGGCATCGATGGACTGGTCACTGCACAACCTTGACTTGGGCAAGGAATCACCCTGGTTTGTCCAAGTCGCATGAGATCATGAGGCAGGGTTTGCTTCAACATTTTTTTCTTTTTAACCAGTGGGTTTGTAGCTCATTTGCGCCATTCAGGTGATTTTCGACTAAGTAGGGTGTTTTTCCTCACAAGTCTAACATGCATCAGTACCTTTGCAGGGAAAGTCGTTCGTTTTCAGAGGTTGTTTTGCTGAAAGTTTCTTGAATTTATATAAGGTACTCTGAAATTTGCACAGAATTATTCATGAAGAGGATGGGAGGAAGGTATCCGGAATGCGTTGGATAGAGGACACCAGACTGGGCTGAACAATACCTTTTTCCTGTTCTTCTTCTTCTTCAGGAAAGATGATGAGGGGCAAGGAGACACCAATCCTCATGAATGTCATGGGGCGATCTGTGAGATAACAGCAACTCCCATTGTATTGAGCTGCATGTCATCACGCTACTTTGCGCACATGTTGTTGAATAGATCTAGGATTGTAATTGTTGAACTCAAGGTAAGGTAGTTTGATCGAGGCGCTGGGTTCAGTTGATTCGTGCCGTCGCGCATACTCGAGGCTTTGGCTTTTAGCAGCCAGCATGAGCGAGTGGCGGGAAGCGGTACCCGACAAGCTCCTTGGAATGAGGTGGATTGGGAGCGCCTAGGCAAGGTAAAAACTGTGATAACGTTTGGTTGGCTTTACAGGCTTTACAGTGTCCAAGTCAAACTTGTTGGGTTTGGTCAGCCTCAAAGTGCATTCATTCATGTGCATTCCATTTGGATGATCTACGAATCTACTGTACTTCCAAGGCCTGGGGAGCAACTTCCGTTTTGAAGGGTCCTGCGTGATGCAATCACTTATATACCACGACTGACGATACGTCCTCTTCGAGTCACGGATGCCGAAATCCCCGTGCCCCCACGCTGAGGTCCCGGCACTGCTTGGAGTTTGACTTTGAGTACAGCGTGAAGTTCGAAGCGAAGTTGACTCCTTTCGAGGTGGAGTCGGGATGATGCCAATGAGACATCTCTGACACCCCAACAGCTTTATGATCGACCAGAGTTCGGTCCAAGCACCTAAGAAAGAAACCGAAGAGATGCCGATATGAGAATTCCAAACAGATGACATGTGAAAGGATATGACTGGTTGATACCGATTGCCGGTTTGATGACATAATTTGGGATCCTTCCAGATCTTTATCAACACACCGCTTTCTTGTGCCTTGATGCTACTAGCAATAAAACGCATCGCTATTAGGAGCAAGAAGCTACTAGTAACACACCGTTTTCTTGTGCCTTGATCACAACGAAATCTTCACCCGAACCGTTGTCCATGATCCTTCAGGTCGGTCCAGCCGCGTGGATGTGTGAGTCAGAGCCACAGCCAGCCAAAGCGAATGCATGTGCCACTGAGCGGTTCACAGAAAAAGAGTTGTGAAGCAACAGTTGGGTTTCGTCGTTCTCAAAATGGCATAGCCATGTATAGCCTCCTATTCAGTGTTTTGAAGCTCACCAGGGCAGATTCACAGAGGAGCAAGCCTTTTTGGCTTCTTCACCAAGTAGGTCACATAGGGAAGATAGGTCACTAGACGCAGAAGTAAGATGTTGCGGAGGTTCCCTTTGTAGACATGGTTCCTGCGGGGTCCTCTTTTTTCAGGCCCAAGCGGCACCTCGCTTCGAATTCCCAGGTTCGCACGGCTTCCGCGAAGGGTGGTGCAGTCCCCGAACAAGCTCTCGACTGAGAAGGTGGGAGATGCTTTTGTATCACTTGGAGTCACTATCTATATATATATATAATATAAATATATATATATATATATTATATAAGACTTGGTTTTCCCTCCCCTCCAAAAGACGCTTCGTTTCCGCCCCTCCTTTTCGACCCTGTGCAGTTGGGCGCTGACGGTGAGTACATTTATGGCAGGAGCCTGCCTGGCTTGTGGATCAGACGGATTGGTGAAGCGAACAGACCTCGTTGAGAGTTCACATTGCTAATGGGATAGTGAACAGGCTTGCATCCCATGTTCTTTTGCCATTTAGACAGTCATTGATTCCCCGCTCCTTTTTAGACTTCTGCTGCCTTGCATACCCAAAGGACAGCTGAAATACTACAGATTGTGTAGGATTTTGTCCAACAGTAGGCAACTCCAACATCAGTGCGGGTGCCAGACAATACTAGTACCATGATTTTTGGTAAATATGGTTGAGAGGCCCTTAAGCTGCAACATCAACTGCAATTTGGCCGTCAAATACGAGCCTATAATCGTAAGTATGGTTCATGTCAGGGGTGCCAAGACCAGTCTCATTTGCGTATGGCATATGCTATGCATACAATTGCCAGGTATTTGGATCCGAGATCGGTTTGGCTTCCCACCCGAAGAGGCCCTTTTGCGTCAAGGGGAATGGGCTTGGCGTACTGGGACCAGGGACTTGGCCCCAACGATCATTTTCCAGGTATGTGGGCAAACATATGCAAGCAAAGTCAAATTCGGAATTCCCAGGGCAACGTGGTTTGACTTTGGCCAACTTGCTTGCAACGCATCAGAAGTTGCTGAACATCATGGGAGGGGGATCCACAGTGCCTCCCTCCTGTTGCATTTGCAACTCAGGTGGAGGACATGGAGCATGAGATGACCATCGAGGTGGGCACTGCCCCTATTTGGCAATCGAAGCTGCCTTTCTTGATAGACAGTATGTGATTCTGCGATGGTTCTAAAAACCATCCAAACATACTTGCAAGTGGAAGGGGCCCCAAGCTTTGGGGACTATGAGGTGCCAAGATCCAAACGAAGAGAAAAAACAATATATATATATATATAGACAAAGTCCCTGACAATCTATATGACATGCAGTTTTCAATTTCTTCACGGCATGTCCATGACAGTCCTCCCTGTTTTGATCCCACCGGAGACCTGAAGGTCACGCTCAATGCAGCCACTGGGCGCTCCCCGTTGACAATGCGCTTCAGTGATAGTTTACCCAGCCCGGCAGGTCTCTGAGTCCTGCATCTTTCGCGCCACCACGCACCACTCGGATGGGGTGGACATCCGCCTCAAGCTCACGCAAAAGGGTGTGGGCTCCTGCAGGGCGAGAGCGCAATATGGCTTGATCATCGGCTCCGAAGGAGCAGTGGTATAGTGTTAAGAGATGGAGTCCAGCCAACCGCTGAGGGCTGCCAATTTTTCTTTTAGTGATTTCGGAGTAGGAGTTGGAGCAAACGAAAAGCAATCTCAGAGTGCAGGATAGGGGACAAGTCAAAAAAGCAGTGAGTGGAAAGGTGAGCAGAAAGCAATCCAAAGGTGATGTGATTGAAATATTTGAATACCAAAAGCAAGAAGAAAGCAACAAAAAGTGACCAAACTGTGATCAAAAAAGCAATCCAGAATCGACACCTAATATATAAACGTCACGTGTCGTTCGGGAGGCGTTTCACAATATGTCAGTCTATATGCTCACTATTTTCTCACTATTTGCTCACTATTTTCCTGTCCATGTTTTGCTTTCCTATGTCTCCGCAATCACTTTTTGATTGCTTGTTTTCCACATGTTGCACGAACTCCCTATGTTCACTATTTTCTTGCTGAGTTCCTTACTCAGGACCTCACAAAAAGTCAAACCTACATTTCCAGTGGTTGCCTGTCGTCGCAAGTCTTAAGTATAGTGGTGTGAATGGCCAGGTGTGTGTTGCAATTCATTGTGTGTAGCTCAACTCACAGACCTTTGCATGTAGCAATGCGGCAGAGTAGGCCTCGAAGTGACGAGATATTTCTTGCATGCAAGGTCAAGACAACCAGCAAGTGCTGGGGCTCCCAATCACGCTCCGGTCAAGTGTGCAAGACTTTGATGATGTTCATGTGAGGTTTGGTTTAAGGACAGGCCAGGTGATCCATCGCAACCTTCATTCCAGTTAGCTTGTAGAGTCGAGTCCTTGAGGCATTGTGGGTAACGTCACCTTGCCATTTTTTCAACAATACATCTGGTATGAAACCCAACTTGCTTGGAGCCTGCCTCCTAGTAAATCCATGAGACCCAAGGTGCAAAAGCATCAAACATCCTGGACCTGTACCTCGTCAAAGCATTTTCTGCCTGGTGCAACCAGGCGGGTTTCCTGCGGGCGGGCTGCTCACGGGTATTGAGGTCGATCCAAAGGAAAGATTGCAAAGATGGGACGTAACTTCCCGACTTCAGATATTTGATGTATATACGACTTTGCTGTAGACTGTTGTCCAATTTGTGTGTCCAGTGAGATGGGAGCGATTTATTTGCGCTTGACGTCTGCGAATACACCATGCCATTTCAGCCCGGCCCCGGACGGGTCGTTGGGGTTCGGAGCACCTAAGGCACATATTCGCTCACCTTCTATGCCGAGTATCCATTGGGAGGCTGGACGTGAAGACGGCTTGTATGACATCGCATGAACTGTGAAGGTCAGTTAGTAGGAGGGCAATGGCTTGTTACCTCATGTTCCCTCACAATCAATTTCTTGGTCACAACAGGTGGTTCAAGATACAGGTTAAGTTTGGCTGGGCAGCTGTCTTGGAATGGCAAGGAAATTCCCCGCCAGGCTTGCACCCATGTAGCGACTTCTTTGCCCAGGCAGGGCTCCACCGGTAGTTGCTACCGGTAGCACTTTAGAATTTAGAAGCGAACACTGCGGTCTCAGTTGGTCAGAATCGCAGCAGGTTCAGTCTCGGAGTTTCCTTTTGTTGGGGAGCTGGCTCCAAGTGATTTTGACCGAACCAGCAGGATAAGATCCCTTTGTTGTCACCATGCCAACATCCCAAGACATGTTCACTATGAATCCAGATCGGCCTGCGGCCTGTGGCCCTTACGGACCAGAGCAAGCGGCAGAGCTGCATCTCACAGGCCGTAACTGGGCCGCTGTTCGGCGAGCGTGGGGAGCAGTGCTCGTGGTTTCATGTTGTTTCGGGGTTCGTCTCAACAGGCAAAGCAAGAGGTCTAGAGACACCACGGAATTATGATTGTCCTTAGGAAGATTCTTTTAAGCTTGTCGCTGAAGCTGTGTGACCATTCTTTTCAAGGCATTCTCCATAGTAAACATAGGGTTGTGTGTGGGCGTATGGTTTGATGCAACCACTATACCTCCAAGTGTTTCCCTTCATCGGGACTTTCCAACAACAGACCTTATGTTTAATCTCCAAAACAGCAACTGCTTCTGTCCGCTCAGGAATTGGGAGCCGCAAATGACAATTCTCACACTTGGGACGATGATCGTAAGGAGCTTGATTCTGTAAATTCCAGTAGGTGCGTTAGCCATTAACAGTTATATATAGATATATACAGCAATAGGTGAAAAGTCCGTGAACAATATGCTGCAACCTGGGTGAAACCCGCGTCTGACGAACAAAAGGCAGGTACGTGCAGCTGCACCTCCTGCGACACCCTGCACTTGTGCGGCTTTGAATTATAGTTGCAAAGTCCCAGAAGCCCGATCGGTGGAACAGGGGCAGGGGTTGGCGCACACTCGCACCCGCCGAACTGTTCCAGTGATTCCAGTGCAGTACTTCGAGCGAGGGCAACTAGCAGCCGCCTTTTTGTACGAAGTGTTCTAGGGAATGACAGGAATTTCCATTGGTTCTGTATGGTTCAGTTTTTCCACAACTTGTATTTTCTGGACATAGAACATCAAGCACAGTTATACAAGACCTCTGAACAAGCATCACTGAGGGTGAGGACAACCTTTCGTGGCAAAGTGACCTTCCATTTTTCGCAAAGGTGGTGGTGGAATTGGAACCGATAAAGCACCTGTGGCAAAGGCATCTTCCGTTCTCGTTTGAGCAGGCAAGCGACATGAGCAGCTTGCAGGCATGGATCAGGGTAATTGGTCTCCGAGATTTTTCACACCTGGCAAAGGAACCCAGCCGGCATGGGTAAATTACATGGTCACCCAGTCAGTGGTATCCCGATCAGCTAGAGACATTGAGCCGAATAGACACTTCCTTTCTTGTTGGAAGATGCTGAAAGTCACTGAGATTTGGACTGGGGCCAACAAACAAGCGGATCACTGGTCCTCATTTGATTTCCAACAAGGATTTGCCTTTCAGCCCTGCATCCTCTGCATTCACATGAAAATATATAACTGGAAAAGCACTGGTTCCCACAGCCACAGCTCGAAGCCAAAGGGCTCCAAGATTTGAGAACCAAACATTTGTTTCAGCGAGATTTCCAGGCAAAACCTTCATCCAAAACCTCCACTGCTGAAAACCTCAGATCTGCTACGATCACAACCTAGCGCCCAACCCCGGGCCTCGCGCATCACGACCCTTGCGCAATGGGAGCATGCCACGGCTGTTGCAACAATGGCGCGAACGGAACAGGCTCCCTCAGCCTCGCCACTCAGAGTCCAAAGAACTACGACAAAGTCATGAACCAAGCGGGCTAGTATAAATCTAGTGTCCTATTCAGACTTGGCCTATGTTTCCCACAAAGCACCAACAAGTTGCATGTTTCACAAAGATCGAACATGTCAGCTGACCACATGCCGTTTGCCCCCCCGCCCACCTCTCGAAACCTGGGGCAAAAGGTCAAGACGGTACGAAGTACTATGGGCCTTCCTATCGCCGTGATAGCCCGCCCAAATGTCAAGACTATGAAACCCACTATAGACTATAACTGGGTAGCATCAATTGGTGCGGTCTGGTACAACACGAACAATTCTGTCCACAGGACACAGATAGGCGGAGCATCAAAGAAACCGCACTCAGTTTTCCCCCACGAGCTTCAACTCTATGGAGATGTTTTTTCTTTTTCCATGCTCACCGGCTTGCTGAGGTACTTTTGATGGCTTTTAAGATATGAATGCTGCCCAAATTTAAAACTGACATACAGCCAAACCTCCAACCAAATGGAGTTTCTAGATTTCAAGCCACTTTGGACATCCTTCGCCGCTGGAAGCAGTCAACTCAGGACACATTCAGAATGGAAAAACTCGCTGAAGAAGAAGTGATCGTGTCCGTGCTTCGAGCTGCACTGGGAGGTCCAACATAGTTCTGGCCAGTCACGACATCCTTTTGCGAAGACCGGGAGGCCAAAACACATGGGTCGGGTATAGTTGCTGTACTGTATAGCTGGCACCACCTGAGGTTGAATCATAACCCCGTAGGAACAGTTCCCAAAGTAGCTCGGGTAAGCAAAAGCACCAGAAAACAATCAGAGGAAAAGAACATGATAACGCTGTTTTGGTTATGGCAAAGTGTTTCATTTTTGCACCTTTTGAGCCTTCAGAACAGGCTCGGTATGTTTCCCAAGAGAATCCAAGACCTTGACTCAGCAAGGGAGCTTGTCGGCTGAAAATTCTTCTTTGGGGGTGGGTCTCGCGTGCTGGGCTGCTGGTTTTCGAGTTTGTTTTCTTCCTTGCCCACTCTCATGCCTTCGTGTTGGATGGCCAAGTGAGATGGACGGCCAAGGCCTCAACGATCACAGAGTTCGCGAAACGCTTGTGGCCTGTGTTGAGCAAGCTCGCCGAAGGCAGGCGCCAGAAGATTTACAGTCATGTGAGGTCATTTGTTGATATTTGTTGTGTATCGTGAAGAGTGCTAAATTGAGAGTGAGTCCAACATAGAGACTCTTCTTCATGTGTAGGGCGTTGGCATGTGGAGGGGCGGCTCTCTCTCTCTCTCTCACTCACTCACTCACTCACTCACTCACTCATTCACTGACTCACGCACTGACTCACTCACTGACTCACTCACTGACTCACTCACTCACTCATTCATTCATTCATTCATTCTTTCACTCATTCATTCATTAACCTGGCCACTTACTTACTTCTTTCTTTGCTGACTTAGTCACTCATGCCTTCACTGAGGTTGTCACACAGTCGTCACCCAATCCCTCCTCCCCCCTTCCCTCTGTGTTTTGTAGGGTCCTAGGTTTTCCTAGGCGTGTCTACGCTATACGCGTGTAGCACCTGTTTCCTCGAGCCATTGGTACTTAGAAATCTTCAGTCAGCTTCCGCATAAATCATTTGGCTCCAGATTTTTTCTGCCCAATATTGCACTGCGTGGCATAAAAGCTAGACGACGAGTGGCCCGAAAGCATTTTTCATCACGTGTGAAGTTAGAGTGTGAGTTATGTGTTAAGTGTTCAGTGTGAAGTGTTGAGTCGAGTGTGTTGAGGCAGTGTGTGGGTGTGTGTGTGTGTAACCCTTGGAATCATAGGGATCCTTTCGGATTGTTTTAGCTTCACAGTTGTTTTCCTTGTGCAGTAGGGGAACTGGGCACTCTGTGACTGACCCAGTTCAACGAAGCTAGGTCACAGAGTGGGATATTCGGACTGATCATCCGAACGTACCTGCATTTTTCCAATTTTCCGCATGGCGTGAGGCTTAAGCCAAGAACCTCAAAGACTTGGTACTTCATGTTGCTGCAGACATGCACGACACGACGTCATCTTGTCGGCTCGTCGATCGTCTTCTTCCTTTTGGGCCCTACTTCCTCTTGAAGACCTCCAGGATCCAGTGGTTCGTACATGTACCCTTAGGAATTGGAACCCTAGGCCGGCGTGTGGCACCGCTTTCAGTTCAGTACGGCCTCGTGCCAACCCGGGATGAGCCCGCAGAGTGCCTCCCGTGGACCCGTTGAACGGGTGTACGTCGTTATCTCCCCTGCCCGGAGATGTACGTGTCCGCAGCGGACAGTAGCTGGCTTATGCCACAAGAACTCAAATTTTGTCCCATCTTTGGAATTCTAAGTTGGCTCATGCCTTTACGTGACCGCAGCGGTCAGAGGTGGCAGCCCTCGGGCAAGCCGTACGTGGTCGCAGCGACCGAAGGTCGTTCAAGGTTCATTGGAACCTGTCGCGAGCTTAGTCCCTTCTCCCCCTTCCCTTCCCCTTTCTTTCTTTGCTTCCTGGGGTTTTCTTGAATGCAACACTCAGGATCACCCCTCTCTTTCTTTGGTGTGTCCCTGGACGCTTGTTCGTAGCTGGGAACACCTGCTTTTTTCTTTTTTCTCTCCTCTCCCTTTCTCTCCCTCTCTCTTTCTTTCTTTCCTTCTCTCTCTCCTTCCTCCCTCCTTGGGTGTCCCTGGATGCTTTTGTCATAGCTGGGAACCTTCTCCTCTCTTCCTTTGGTGTGTCCTTGGACGCATGCGTCGTAGCTGGGAACACCTTCCTTTCTTTTCTCTCCTTTTTCTCGTCTCTCCCTACCCCTCCCTCTTGTCGGCACCTTAGCTTGGGATGCTACTAGGGGCTCCTGGCCTTCCTACTAGGTGTTAGGTGTTTCTTTGACGCTACTAGAGGTTCCTCACCTTACCACTACTTGGGGACGAAGTACACGTCGTTGCCTCGTTGATTGGAATTCTTGCCTCCCCTCGGGGAGGCGTGTGTGTGTAACCCTTGGAATCATAGGGATCCTTTCGGATTGTTTTAGCTTCACAGTTGTTTTCCTTGTGCAGTAGGGGAACTGGGCACTCTGTGACTGACCCAGTTCAACGAAGCTAGGTCACAGAGTGGGATATTCGGACTGATCATCCGAACGTACCTGCATTTTTCCAATTTTCCGCATGGCGTGAGGCTAAGCCAAGAACCTCAAAGACTTGGTACTTCATGTTGCTGCAGACATGCACGACACGACGTCATCTTGTCGGCTCGTCGATCGTCTTCTTCCTTTTGGGCCCTACTTCCTCTTGAAGACCTCCAGGATCCAGTGGTTCGTACATGTACCCTTAGGAATTGGAACCCTAGGCCGGCGTGTGGCACCGCTTTCAGTTCAGTACACCCTATCCTAAGTGTGTATCTATGTCTGTGTGTGTATGTGTCTCTCTCTGTATGTCTTTCTGACGCGCAGGAACACCTTTTTTTCTGCAAGTTCTTGACCTCTCGCAAGCCACCTCCGCGTACTGGAGTTGTACTACCATTTCGCCAGTTCTCATCTTCCAGCTCCCCAGATACTCCGCGTACTAGAGTGGTACTACCAAGTCGCCAGTTCTCATCTTCCAGCTCCCCAGATACTCCGCGTACTCAAGTTGTACTACAAAGTCGCCAGTTCTCATCTTCCAGCTCCCCAGATACTCCGCGTACTAAAGTTGTACTACCAAGTCACCAGTTCTCATCTTCCAGCTCCCCAGATACTCCGCCTTACTAAAGTTGTACTACAAAGTCGCCAGTTCTCATCTTCCAGCTCCCCAGATACTCCGCGTACTAAAGTTGTACTACCAAGTCACCAGTTCTCATCTTCCAGCTCCCCAGGTGCTCCGCGCACTTTGATTCCACTACAAAGTCGCCAGTTCTCATCTTCCAGCTCCCCAGATACTCCGCGCACTAAAGTTGTACTACCATGTCGCCAGTTCTCATCTTCCAGCTCTAAAGTTGGTACTACAAAGTCACCAGTTCTCATCTTCCAGCTCCCCAGATACTCCACGTACTAAAGTTGTACTACAAAGTCGCCAGTTCTCATCTTCCAGCTCCCCAGATACTCCGCGTACTAAAGTTGTACTACAAAGTCGCCAGTTCTCATCTTACGGGCACCGGACAAAACGCACTCTCGCCTGCATTTCGCGCACTCGACACGCACGATCTCCGCAGAGGGTTGCGTGCGCATGGGGCAAATCGCACTCTCGCCTGCATTTCGCGCACTCGACACGCGCGATCTCCGCAGAGGGTTACATTTTCGGTTGACGCTGTTCTTCCCACCCTCCGCCTTTAAAAGAGAATTTCTAAAGTGGGGAAATGTTTTTCATTAGGACATCTCCCGTGCAAGTTTTCCATACTCATACTTGCATACTTGTTGCATTACGCTTGCATACTTTCCCTTGGTTGCCCTTGGATGCTTTTTACCCTTACACTGGGATACGTATAGACGTGTAAGTGTTCAAGTGTCAGCGTGGAAGCGTAAGTGTTCAAGTGTAAGTGTAGAAATGTCAGCGTTCAAGCGCAAGTGTGGAAGTGTCAGCGTGTAAGTGTAAGTGTCGAAGAGTCAGTGTTCAAGGGATTTTCCGGAAGAACCCTTTGCAATGCTTTCGGGAAATAGTGTGCTCGCGCGCTTACATCGTGAGAGGGTCTTACTTGGTGAATTTGATCAGGTCCAGTATACTCTACTGCCACTTTCAAAAACTTACCCCTCCCTCCCTCCCTCACTCAGTCACTCACTCATTCACTCATTCACTCACTCACGCACTGACTCACTGACTCACTCACTCATTCATTCATTCGTTCGTTCGTTCATTCATTCATTCACTCATTCATTCATTCATTCATTCATTCATTCATTCATTCATTATTCACCTTCTTTCTTTGCTGACTCCAACTTGACTCCAACTTCCAAGGAAGGAAGTGATCACTCCAACTTGACTCACCCTTTTCTATACCATCCAGGGGTAAAGTTCAGAGAGGGAAGTGGCCGTGCCAAGTTGACTCACCCTTTTGTGGGCCATCCAGGGGTAAAATTTAGAGAAGGATGTTGCCCTTCCAAGTTGACTCACCCTTTCGTGGGCCATGCAGGGGTAAAATTTAGAGAAGGATGTTGTCATTTCAACTTGACTCACCCTTTTGTGGGCCATGCAGGGGTAAAGTTTAGAGAGGGAAGTGGCCTTGCCAAGTTGACTCACCCTTTTGTGGGCCACGCAGGGGTAAAATTTACAGAAGGATGTTGCCATTTCAACTTGACTCATCCTTTTGTGGGCCATGCAGGGGTAAAATTTAGAGAAGGATGTTGCCCTTCCAAGTTGACTCACCCTTTGGAGTGGCCATGCCAAGTTGACTCACCCTTTGGTGAGGGTAAAATTTAGAGAAGGGTGTTGCCATTTCAACTTGACTCACCCTTTTGTGCGCAGGGAAAAAAATTGAGAAGGAAGTGGTCATTCCAACTTGACTCACCCTTTTGTAGGCCATGCAGGGGTAAAGTTTAGAGAGGGAAGTGGCCATGCCAAGTTGACTCACCCTTTTGTGGGCCAGGCAGGGGTAAAATTTAGAGAAGGATGTCGCCCTTCCAAGTTCACTCACCCTTTCTTTTGTGGGCCATGCAGGGGTAAAATTTAGAGAAGGATGTTGTCATTTCAACTGGACTCACCCCTTTGTGGGCCATGCAGGGGTAAAGTTTAGAGAGGGAAGTGGCCTTGC